TCGCTTTGATCCCCGATGGCCCCGGGTAAAAAGGGGGGGGGGGGGGGGCTGTTCGGACAGCGAGTCGTTCCTTTTGTCGCGCGAAGGTGTTGCGGTTGTCACGGGGCTGCTGCCTCGGCTGCTGCCTGGCTGTTTTAATTAACCGGAGTGGAAACTGTCCCCCGGCCCGCGCCACGCCGCGCCACGCGATGAGTCCGGCCGATAACTTAATGAATCGCCGCGTACACTACCGACGCGACCAAATGAAGCGATCCGAGAGAGGTTTCGCAGCTTCCCGCCAAAAAAATAAAATCAAAGTCGGTGTAAAGCTGGGGTCAGCAGAGGTACGCCGCGTATCTGAAGCAAGGACCTCACCGCGCCAGCTCACCTGCAGGCGCACGCTGGGCCGCGACAAGCTCGGAGAGCCAGTTACACATTCGGGACACGTCGGCAACACGTCGCGAACAAGTCGAGAGGGCGCCGCTGAGCGACACGGGTAATGACTTAATGAGCGCCTTGTCCGGTCGCTTGGCGCGCTGCCCCGAGACACAGATAACCTGCGACAGGTACCACTGCCGCACCCGCACCGGCTCGAACTGTTTGGACCGATCCGCGAAACTGGCGATGTCGCAGTGAAAATAACGTCTTCCGACTACATTTCTGATTTGTGCGCCCGCCAGCCAGAAGTGTTCCAGGGGTGACCCACCGTGGGGATCTCCCTCCATTTTAGGGTCACCGTCGCCCCCGACGAGCACGACCCGGGACTCCTCTGCGGGAGGGAGGGACAGGGACAGGTCGACCTTTTGGACCTGAAGCCCTCGGGGACGTGCATAGTGGGACCGGCGACGACCGCCCGGCGGGCGCCGCGGGGAGCCAGAGCCATCCTCAGTCACAACACGGCGAGGCACTACAGCTCCATCGTGTGGTCCAGCAGCAGCGCAGCAGCAGCGACCCCCAAAGATTAATTGGCCCCCGATCCCAGGAAGATGAAGAGAGCAGCTCGGCGCAAGCACTTCGGGGACGGGCCGGGCCTCGGGCCGGGCGTATTGGCGCCCTGCTAGGGTCGCCACCAGCGCCTTCTCAAAAGAACATACATAAACCACGGCCGAAGGCAGAGGTGTTGCTCGGCACATTATACTGGCCGGGCCATAAAATAAAGCAAGGGGGACAGTTGGCGCACCTTGCCTGTGGAGTCACACCACCCCCCAACCCCCTGAGAGGAGACCCACCCCAGCGCCGGAGGACGACGACCAGCGAGGCCGCAATCCAGAAACAATACACGAGCCGCCGCCGAGGCCGCCGTCATCGAGCCTCAGCAGCGCGCGTCCGAAAGTAAAAACAGATCCTGGCCCTGCTGCATGCGCAACGGACAGAGACGCGAGCTCTCGTTAGCTTCGCGCCGCGGCCCGTACGCAGCCGCGAGAGAGGAGCACGGCGGCGCGGCCCAAGTGGGAGAGAGAGAGAATGCGGAGATGAGATGGGGCTGATTGGTCGCGTGTACCACGTGGTACGGCTGCAGCTGCTGCAGAGCAGTGCGGAGCAGCCTCTCCACTCGCCGTCGGCAGATGCAGCGGTGTCCTCCTCACCCCTTGGCTCGACAGGGAGGGGCGCTTTGTTCTATCGTGATCAGCACGCGACCCGCGCGACACCTGCAGCTCGCACTCACACGCCGAGGACGGTTGCGAGGGTGACGAGGAGCGGCGACCGACGCGGCGGCCACGGCGGCGGCGCGTAGCGTGCAAGCTGGTGTAAAGCTCACCAGGGATGAGGAGTCTCGCCGACCTGTTCCGGAAGTGCACCACGCAGGTGGGCACGTGCTGGAGGCGGGCCCGCCGCGACGGAGGCAGGGCGGTCTTGCTGGAGGACGCCCCCATGACGCCGCCGCCGCCCCTGGGTGTGGTCCGCCCCTGCGGGAGACAAAAGAGTTGTTAGAGGTGAGGGGCACCGCCGGCCCCGGCCCCCCACGAGGAGCCAGAGGAGAGGCCACGAGTGCATTCGAGTGTTGTGCACGCCGCGATATGCACGCGCAGCCATTCGAAGGCCTGCGTGCGAAACACTGAGAGGGGGGAAGGGGGGCAGAAGAGGAAGTGTTTCGAACGCAGCCTGCGGTCGTTGTCGGACGCGTGCGCGCCAAGCATTGTGGCAGCATTCTAGGCATTCATTCTGTGAAGGAGGTGTCAATGGGAAGGAGAGTGGGGCAGACAAAAAGGAACTGCCACAAGGGGTTCACTTCAGGCGTGGCAATTTATGGAAGATCAGAGGCACAGGTGCGGTGAAAACAGGAAAGACCAGTGAACACGGACTCAATAAAGCATCCAGGACTCATTGTCTCTAACAGAACCAAGTCAGTTTGTCTCCTAGTTTAGTGAGTAAAAAGAACTAAATTCCATGTTGAAACATAATATTGCAACTCAAAAGAAAGTGAATTGAAATCATTAATATGAGGATACTTTCTGAAACTTAAATCCAGTGGAACAATAATGTTATTTCACATACACAAGAGGAGAAAAGGGAACAGGTAATTTTGACAGGAAAAAAACGAAGTCGTCATCTCAACCCTCTGTACTGCCAAATTCAGGATTTCAGAGAACGGTACCGGAGGGGATGGGGGTTGAAATTTTTTTTGCCTCCATTTCAGTATGTTGGAGTCTGATGATCAATTTAGTCTTGGTGAAGATAGTGAAGCTGAAGCCATCCTGTTGTTTGTTTTGAGGTAAACTGATTAGCCAAATGAGAACTGAAGCCAGCTTCAAGCTGGTTTCAGCATATTTGATTACCCAATACAAATGACGGCATAGCTTCAGCTTCACAAGTCCAAATTAATAAGAAAGTACCAACCTGTGCATAGTTGAGGTCGTTAACATCATGAATTGTTCTGGATGGTAAGCTCCCTCTTGTCATTAGCAGCTTCATTATTGCAGCTCTCCCTTGTCGCCTCTTCGATTGTAGACCTAACATTGTGCTCGTATCTCTTAAAGGTTTTGTGATCCATATTCGGAATGTTCAGGCTTGAAATCAGATGATTGAAATGGGCATAAGAGCACCCACTGGTAGTGACACCTATAAATAGAAAATAAAAACAGAAAAACATTAGATCACAACTTCGATCGGGACAAGTATAGGTTATGTTCTCCACTGTTCACACGTGATCACTTACCCATGGCCCATGGTAGCCTTTGCATTGACATCGAAAAGCGAAATTCGCTCGTCGGAACCTGCATGTTGTTTTCCAGTAGAGACGATAGTAATGACATCACATTTATGGCAACGGACAGACCAAAGACCAAATCGATCCGGCCTCGGCGAAATCTCTGCCTCCACGTACTGCAGAGACGGCCTCTTTGCAGGAGGAGCAGCACCACATTTGTTTCGCCAGCTCGAACGGTTCCACGATACGCCGTCCACTCAATACATACTCTTTTACTCTTGTATCCTAGTTAATGTTTTCTTCGTCCTCGCATGTGCGTTTAGGTTTTTTGGGCGGTGGAACATCTTCTCTTTCCGAACAGGGGCTGACGGTTCTTCGCTTTGAGGCTTCTTTGGGCGTTAATGTCTTCACTGTCGGAACTCTTCCTTTCTCAAGATTTGCAAGCCGTATCTGATGAGCTTCATATTTTGCCTTTGTACACACTTTACCCTTTATCCGAAACAAACTTTTCCACATTTTCTCGAGTTTGAAGTTTGCTGCAGAAGCAAGAAGACGGAAGTGGAAAGTGCTGCGGGTGAACAGGGCTGCCAGGTCCGGAGTGAGTCAAGTCGCCAGAAGAGGGCGCTCGAGTCGCCAATCGTCGCCAGCCGCCCAAGTCGCCAAAAATCGCCCCCGACAGATTCAAATCGCCAAAAATCGCCAAAAATCGCCAAAAATCGCCAACCTTTTAGTGGGATAGCCAAAAAAGAGGCAAGGTAAAAGTGAACTCGGGTAGCACCCAAGAGTCAGCAAATGTGACAATGTAGCGAGCTGCTAGGCCCATTTCTTAGAAATTCATCTCCCCCGGGCCGGAAAAGTACTCAATCCCTTCGTAATCCCCGCTTCCGTGGGGTCAGGTAGCCCGAGTCGCCTAGGATCGCCAAACTTGGAGCTCAGTCGCCAAAAATCGCCAGGCCAAAACACAAATCGCCAAAAAAATCGCCTGGCGCCAGGCCGTCTTTTCAAGTCGCCAAACCCGACCTAAAATCGCCAATTTGGCGACAAATCGCCAAACCTGGCAGCTCTGCGGGTGAAAGAAGAAGAACGTGGGGAACAAGAAGACGGAAGTTCACATTCCACATACATTTGTTGTTGTTGGTTGGATGTTGTTCAGATTCCGCAAAAGCTCGAAAACTAATTATCCCGAAAACTGATTTCCACCCACGGCTGGAAATATTGTGGTCTTTGCATCCTTCAGAACAAACCAGATAAATAAACATTTGTTGTTTTATACCTGATTTACTGCAAAAAGACTAAACGAAGGGAGTCGTTCAAGGTACGTAACCAACTCAAAAACATTTTCATTTTAACCTTGCCCCAAATGAACCGGCTTTTAAATTAATCTCTCTCCTGTCTCTTTCAGATGAATTTTGCACAAATCCTTCAAGAAATAAACGAAAGACCAATTTGTGTTCGGTCAAACTTACTCCCAAAGTTTGTGGCCTTTAATATACTTAGTGCAGATACAATTGACAATTTGACCAAGCCTGGGACTAAAAACAATGTCTTAGTCTTGGAATACAAACCAAGGCTTAAATTGAAAATCTACGCTGACACTACATACCAGCGTTTTACAGCAGCTATGGTGAAAGAATTGAATGATGACATAATGTCTGGAAACAAATGGTACATCATCCGCATTGATTCAGATAGAGACAATTTTATTTCAAAATTCATGACTGAAGAAGAGATAAATCACAACAAATTTCCTATTTTTGATGGTTAGTATGTAATTGTAAGACGTACTGAAACTCCTGCACATATCAGATTATCACACAGACTTACAAGTTTTTTGTTTCCAGCTAAAATTCATGCTTTACTGTAATAAAGAGCGAAGAGTCCCATTTGTTCAAGAAATCGAAGTTCATTTTGTACAGAAATGAATCACCTTTTTGTTTTCATTATTTTTTTTATTTTTTTCAAATGAAAGTTCAATGTATTTCCAAT